CCATGCTTAGGTTCTGTTTGTGCCTGCGTCGCCGCCTTTGCCTCCTGCCGTCGCTTGCTGCCCTGCCCTGCCCTGTCCTGCCCTGCCGTTGATTGCCTGGTCGGGGCTGAGACGACCAGGGTGTGGCAGTTGCTGTTGGCCGCAAAGACAAGAATCGAGAAGGAGAGAGAGAGAGAGACCTCCCCCGGCAGGGTGGAACCGTGTCAACCGTACAGTGCCCCCCACCACCCCTCCCCCTTCAGCAAGCGAGAGACATAAGAGACAAGAAACGCCACAATCTCCGTCCCCAGCTCGATGACGATGCGAACGGTATTCTCTCATACCGGCCGCCCTGCCAACTGCCATGCCCGGTATGTACGGCACGTCGAGGCAAACGGGAAAGCAAGAACCGATGAGGACCGATGATGTAGACAAAAAGGTCCAAACGGTGCACCGGGGATTAGAGACTGTTGAGGAAAGGGCTAAGAAGATGAAAAGCTCAAGTTTACTTGAAGCAGGTTTTTCGAGTCAAACCACCGGCACCCCCAAACACAGACGAAAGGCCCCCCCTCCTGGAGCCGCAAATGCGGTAGTGGCCGTCGGCGGCGAGCATCGTACGGTGGTGTTGCCGCCGCATGATTTAGTATCTCGCGTCGCATTCAGTCGGCTCAGCCAGCGGCGCGGTTGGACCCTGATACTGCCTCACCGCCCGCACGGAAGGAGGAGGAAGCATATCGAGATATTGACATAATCGGCGGGACCAAGACTAAGGTATCCGTCCACACGGCATGAGTTGTGGCCAGCCTGGCAACTCTCAATGTCGCATTGCGCCTCGGCTTGACAGAACAATGCGCATTGTTTTCATGAGGCGTAGCGCCGCCGCTACTACTGCTGCAAAAAACCTGTAAAACGAGGGGGTTATAGGTGGGCAGGTAGGAGGTAGTAGTAGTGGTAGGTATGTATATGCCTGTACTAGTTGACTTGGTAGATGGCAGTTCATTTGGATGTTTGGGTAAGGCGGATAAGTGCGTGCTGTGCAGCGTCGGCTTATCTGGGGTTGGACTAGGTTCTATCGAGTCTGGATAGTCAAAGAGTTTCGAGCCTGTCGAGAGCCGCTGGATGTCATGCTCTTTGAGAGAATGAGAATGATGGGACCGTCATTTCTAAATCAGCACCAACGCTAAGCCAGCTCGGATCTCTGCCCCCCTGCTCGTGCTGCGCGGCCCTCGGACCAGTCGGTACGTACCCTGTACACTTGCCCATGCCCCCTGCTAGCGTCGAATTGACCGACCCCACCTTCTCACCTTTTTTCTTTTTGTTTTTTCCTTTTCTTCTCCTTTCGCGAAAGAGAGAGGGAAGGGACACCCCACTGGAGCACCGTCCCATCAAACATCTTTCACTGTCCGTCATCCAACCCCCCCCTCCCCCCTGACCTGTTTCCCGTACTGTGCGACAGTGTCGTCCGCCGCTGGCCGGTGAGCGCACTTTTGCATTGTGGCTCTGTGGCTTTCATGCCTGCCTCCTTCTCCTCTACCACCACCTCCTCCTCCTCCTCCACCTCCTCCTCCTCCTTCCCGCCCAGGCACTAAGCAGTCTTGACCGAGAAAGAAGGACGGACAGCAGCTCAGCGCCGGACAACTTCCTCCCGGCCTCTCCCTCCCTCCACGTCGTCCGTACTCACTGAGCTCAGCCCAACTCAATCCCCCTCATACTGAATGGAACCTTGATATCTTCCGAGCTTGCTTGCTTGCTTGCTTGCTTGCTTGGCTGTTTCCCCGCCGCCGCGCCCAGCACCCAGCACTGCCTGTCCTTGCCCCGGCCACCTCATGTTTCAATTGCCCTCTGCTTGTCTGTTCTCGGCGCTGACACTGACAATGCGAGGCATACATGCCTCGGCGGTGGGCATGGGTATTATTGGGTCCTCTGCGGGGAGCTTTGTGGCTTTGTGGCTTTGGGACCTTGGTGTATACCTGTACTACCTACGGAGTACATCGTATATGTGGATGAGAACGAATGGCCAGGGTAAGGTCATTGCTGATCTGGTTTGGAATTCTTTTTAGCTCTACCGGAATCTCAACGTCCTACCCCCGCCGCCGCAACCAAGAATCTCATACCGGAGCAGATGCAACGGTGGCCGGTAGCAGTCTCCAAACCGAAAAGAAAGGAGAAAATTCAAAATAAATCAGGGCGTGCCATTGACGTCCGCAGTGGTCTGTCGCCGGTCCGAGGGAGTCGATAAGGCAATGGAGCAGACGCGAAGTAGACCGAAGTCGAGCCAAAAAGCAGACGGAACCAACCACATACATGCCCGAGCAAAACTGGCAGGCCTGCCGCCGCATGCTCTGCTCAGGCCAAAGGCAGCGGGTGCCAGTCGCTGCACACTTGTTGTAGGTAGTGCATTTGCCAAAGGTCTCATTGCCAATGAAGGAGGGGGTGGTGACTGCAGGCAGCGAGCCTCTCTCTCTGGTACGATACCTTCGGTAGAGTATCCCCTGGTGTGCAGGTCGTGACCTCTGGACTTGGTAAGATAGCTTACAGTAGAGAGAGCATACTTGTCGTGCCTCCCGGCCCCCTTCTCATTGTTGGCAGCAAGTGGTAGTTAGTGTAGGTAGGTAGCATACCGCCTGCTACTGCGTATGGTACATACCCATTTGGTAGTGTAGATGCCCATGGTGGTGGCGGTGGACACGCATGCCTGGTGGCTGCCCCTCATCCGACTTGCATTGTATGTGGTGTGGTGTGGTGTGTACGCGGTATTCGGTATTCTCATAACGGGCATCAGCGGCGACCGTTCCATTGGTCTCTTGTCCTGTCTGTATCTGTATTACGAAATACAGCTTCATGCCCAGCTACCCGCACTGGCCCGATGTCGACAAGAGGAACAAGAAACAGATAGATACGCCAATACCGGATGGTCAGGTTGGTTTCTCAACGCAACCAGCATCGTTCGAGCCAGACCGGCTTGCCGTCTCCGTGCCACTATCCCGCGCAGGTCGCCTCGTCTCTTTGCTTCCTTCCATTCCGCCCCACCTAGCTCCCACGACACACCCTTTCCGTAGACACCCCCACCCCCTTCTTCCCCTCCTCGAATTTTTGCTCAGGCCACACCCCAGAACCCGCCACACGCCCCAGCCTTCCACCACCCCGGCCATCTCTCGTCCTCGCACCTTCCTCCCATCTTCTTCTTTCGCCTCCTCAACACACACCTCTCGTCACCGACCCGCCTACGGCCATCCCACCCCGGGTGGGTCTTATGGACCGTGTGTCTTCTCCTCCTTCCACAGTATTTTTCTCTCTTTCTTTCGCCATTGTCTGCACTTGCAGGGATGCTCCTGACCGTCAGGTACGTGCTACTGTGACCTTGCGCTGCCTGGAACAGAACCTAGAGCAGCAGCATCAGCAGCAGCATCAGCAACACCACACACACCCTCGGTCCCTGCCACCCACCCCTACCCCTCCCACCTTTGAGATCCTGGTCCTAGTCGCCATTGCGCTTAGGGTGTGTGGGTGTGAATGAGTGAGCGAGTGTGTGTGTCTGTGTGTCGGTACGTACTGCTAGTGTTGGTGGTGCCGGGACCAGGACTGATAGGCCTGGTAGCTTTTTTCCCTCCCACCATCTCTTTTTGCTGGAAGCGGTACCTGCTGCTACTGCTGCTGCTGCCGCCGCCGCGCTCGCTGCACTTGGAAACTCGGGTTGGACTGGGGAGCAGCGCTGGGACTGCGCTCACCATTCAAAACCACTCCGTCCCCTCCGGAGCCGCCCACCAGTTTGCTCTCTCACAATCTTTGTGTGCTCCAAACACCAAAGTCAACCACCACCACCACCAACGACTTCTCAATCCTCCTCCCCGTCACCCGTCGTAAGAGACCCGAACCTTCTCTTCTTCTTGACCAACAAGGAGGAAGACCACGACACGACCCAGCACCGAAAGAGAGTCATCGACATTGCTCTCTTCTCTCTCAGGCACGGAAGGATTGACCCCGTAGTTCACGCTATTGACAGTCTCCTCTGCCTTTTTCGACTCAAGACTAGGCTCAACTGTCTCTCGTCTCCCGACCTCGTGTTCCTCCCAATTCCGAACACTGCAGACCCACGATCCCCACGAACGCCGCAAGCCACCTTGCCGTGCGTCTCTCTCTCGCCTGGCCTCGCCTGGCCTCGCCCCCATCGGACCCCTTCCTTCGAGACACCTCGCCCCCGGTCCTAAACTCGTCATTGCATTCCACCTGCTTCGACGGCATCTCCACGGGACCCTCCTCCCCAGCTACCGACATTCCTTGTCGCCTAGCAAACAAGAGCTCTCATTTTGCACCTGTTGCTGGAATATTGCCAGTGCAAAAAGCCCTTGAGCCGCACTTCTCCTTGTAGGATTTCTCCATCCATGTAAGTGGTCAACCACGACTCCTATACCCAGTCATTCTTTTGTAAAAAGACGAAAATCACCGAGAGAAAGATCGAGAAAAAAAAACATATACACCACCTCCGTCATTACCACATCGTTTTTCCTTTCATTTTTCACTATTCAGTCATACTCCATTTCTCTGTGCGCGTGTCGCTGCCTCTTTCTCATTTGTTACCGCGGCGTCTTGTATCCTACTACGCCACCACCGTCATCCGCTCCTCCTTTTTTTCATTGCCTCTTTTCCTTGATTCTTCTTTGCTCTGTCCTCATCGGTTGTCTCGAGTTCGATTTTCGATCTATATGCCCCACCACCTATTTCCTTAATCAATTCCAAAATCTTGAAGGAAAAAAAGGGGAGAAAAACCAAAAAGCAGCCGTCGGACCGGACTGACGAGAACTTTCCGACAATACAGAAAACCTAATCCTACCGGTAACCCTTTCGTCAACTCTCTGGCCGCTCCGTCCATACTATCCTATTTTTTTCTTCCGCATGAATTGATACCAATTTGCATTTTTACACTCCTCCCGAGCAGTCACGGACTCAACAAACCCCGTGCCGGGTGCACGAATCCGACCTACAACCAAACCTACCACCTAAATATCAGAGGCACGCTCGCTATGCCTTACACACCTCCCTCCCACAGCCGGTCGCCCGCGAGCTCCGCGCCATCTTCGCCCGACATCAGCCGTCGCTCATCATTCCAATCCAGCCCGAGACCTTCATTACCAAGGTCGGCATCATACCTCACAAAGCACAGAAGGACGCCTGCCGCGGCGACGGATGCCCTTACAAACAACTCCTCCGACCAACCGACGCCCCCCGGTACATCAGACGACTTGAAGGGTATGGCAACGAACAGCAGCGTGCGACAATCGCCACCCCCGTTGACGGACGAGAGAGGTATGCCTAAGGGCGCTATCATCTCTCCGCCAGACTCTGGCAGCGAAGAGGAAGATGTCGCGGAACGGGGCAGGCGGATCGAGAACTTGAAGGAGCTTCAAGAGGCCATCAGCCAAATCCCAGTCCACCGGGAAGCATCACCCACGCGCTCCAAGCTTGAGCAGCCAACCCTGGCTCTCATCACCAAGGACGACCTCCCCAAGGAGGGCCTGCCTACTAGCTTCAGCACCAGCTCGCTGGATGCACTCGCCAAGACCGTCGCCCGCCGTGCAACCCACGCCAGGTCGAGCACCGAACCCAGAATTGTTTACGAACCAGTCTCTGCGACCGGCTCCGAATCCGACTCGGACAGCAACAACCAAGCCAAGCCCCCCATGGTGCGCAAGAAGTCTGGCGAACTTGTCCGCCCTGCTCTTCGGCCCGCATCTGCTCGCCGGAGACCGTCCAGCATGCCCGGCACCCCCACCTTCTCCAAGGCAGTCCACTTTGACTCCCACCTGGAGCACGTTCGCCACTTCCTTCAGGTTGACAGGCCACTCGCTGTTAGCGCTGGGTCTTCGCCGGTCGATAACTACGACAGTGACACCGAGTACCCCTTCCCTGGAGATGAACGCCGCGGCGCCCGCAGTCCCCCCTATGAGTGGGAGATCGTCATGGCTAGCCAGCCCGTCGATACCCCTATCCGCAGGTCTCTTCCTATACGCCTCGAGAGAGTATGGCTATCGCCCGACCAGAAGAACCTTTTGGGGTCCGTCGCCGTCGCCAACCTCGCTTTCCAGAAATCCGTCACCTGCAGGTTCACCCTCGACTACTGGAAGACTACTTCCGAGGTCGCCGCCGAGTACTCGCACGAGGTCCGCCCGCAAGACGGACCCGTCTCCCAAGACCGCTTTACGTTCACCATCAAGCTGTCCGACCTGGCTAACCTCGAGACCAAGACGCTTTTCTTCTGCATCAGGTACACGGTGAACGGCCAGGAATTCTGGGATAACAACAACGGCACCAACTTCCAAGTCGATTTCCGTAAGAAGTACCTCCCCCAGAATGGCAAGCGAGGCCTTCAGGGTGCTGCCAGCCGACCCGCTCTCCCCCGCAGCAACCGTCGCTCCAGCCCTGCTTCAGCTCCTCGCCCCAAGTCCATGCCTGTCGGCTTCGACGATTTCCCCAACCAATCCAAACTCAACTTCGAGCAACCCATCCACGAGTACCTGGGCGAGTCGGGCCCGACGGGGCTCCGCCTCAAGGTGAATAAGTCGACCGGCAACCTGGCTAGTGATAACCTCCCTAGCCGGCTGTCTGCGCCCAGCGGTCAGGCATTTGCCAACCGTTACGACTTTGGCGCCTCCCTCACTGCCGCCGTCCAGGCCGCAAAGGATACGATAGTTAGGGACCGCAACCCGGATGGGCTCTATATGAAGAGCCACCGTCAGATCCAGGTTCCTTCCCAGCAGCCGCAGCAGCGTCAGCAGACCAAGCCTGCTCCAGCCCCAGCGGTCACCAGAAGCGCCCCCGCTATCCCCAAGCATGCTGTGCGGCCTACTGTTCCTGGTACCGACTCACCTAACAACATCCTTGCATCGTCATCGTACGAGGAGCTGGTCAACAAATACTGCTTTGTACGTACTTCTGGTCAACCATCACCCATGCCCGACCCTTTCACCGACTCTCAACGATCGCCCGTTCTCAGCCCAAAAAGCATGTACTGACCTTGGCACTCAACAGTTCGGCTCCAAGCAGTCTAGCCCGCAAATCAAGGATGGCACTTTGAGAAGCGGAAAGTTCGACGGAGCTGACGACGGCTTTGCTACCCGGGCTTCCAACAGCACGAGCTCGAGCTCCAACGGCAGCCCGAGCATGGCCCACCAGGCCCAGCACGCTGGGCCCGCGCAGCACCACGCCTTCCACATGCGCGACTCTAACCCTTACTTTAACCACCCATTGGGAGCCTACGGCGCGTCTCCCGCATCATCTCCACTCAACCAAGCGACCTTGCAACAACCCGGGCGATCCGCAAACCAGCGTCCGAGTCAGGCTTCCACCCCAGCGACAATGAGGTCTGCCCCCTCGGCGGCCTCGACGGGTGGCTTTCCTTTCGCCGGTACGTCGCCGAATGAATTCCCATACGCCCAGCAACTGCAGGAGCGATTTCCATTCAATACGGAGACTCATGCCGCAACAGCAATTAGGGGTTAATTACGGCGTCTCCCGCTCTCCTCCATAACCGCGTCACCTCTGCGGCTTCGTCATTTGACGTTTTTCAATCGTGTTTTCGACCAAAAAATTGACCTTTTTCAACCAACGGCGTTAATCGGTATCTCGAAATCAAAGGCCAGGGACGGCCAAGGCATCGCGGGGCGTTTAAAGAGTTTTCACGTTTCACGGCCCTCGATCCGACTTGACGACGACACTCCCAAGCATACGATGGGCATACTGGAGTCAACGCGGAGGGGAAAAAATAAGCCTTGCTCTTTTCACTCCTTTCTACACTCATACCTGATGAGCTCAATGCAGTGTCGAGGGAATGGCTCTCCTTAACGGACGGTACATAGGAACGAACGGCACACAAGGAGTTCCTTTAATGCATAATTCGCTCTTGCCTTCACTCCTGCTTGACCTTCAAAAAGCAGTCATTATCAGCTCGTCAATTCGTCTTGTTTTGCCTTCATCCTTCAGTCTGGCTTTATGTGAGTGGTCAGGGGACCGGAACCTCTAGTACACGATACAGGAGAGGGAGGTTCTAAAGAATTTGGTTATCATTTGGCTTGTCGGAATAGTTTTGGGTCTGGTATCGGGCACGGGCATGGGCCCCTTTTACAGTTCATTGATCATCCCCCGATACGGGCATGGCCTCGCGTTGTCTGCTGTCGACGCTAGCCGGCCTGGGTTGATTTGCGCTGGTCTTGTACCGTGTTGCATTGACCGGGCCGGTCAAAGTCGGACCGTATGGTAAAAGGCCCGCGGGGATGGATAAAAGTTGAGGAACTGAGTCTTTGAAATTGAAGCAATCGACTCGTTCGTGTGTCACAATGGGTACCGGTTTCATATACTGGGCGTTGGGAAGATGGACGCGCAGTCGCTTGAGCAGAAAGCGTTCGGCCTGGTTTGGCTTGATTAGTTGGGGTAGCATGGGAAGACGGAAAAAAGAAACACTTGCCATTGCTCTCATAACCTGGCCATCTCGCTGTCTCGTCCACGTGTACATGAATCTCGACTGATTTCTGAACGTATGGTCTGCTTCAACTCGTTTTTCGTCTATTCATTCTTTGCAGTATCCAAGGAGGGGAGTGGCCGAGTTGATCCATGGCCAATTGGGTAGTTCCCTCTGGTTTCTGCTGATTCCATCCAGGTCTGCTGGGTAGAGACTTGCCTGTGCTTATTGGAGTGCCTCGGGGGGGGGGGGTGATCAGGATGACTGAGGTATATATGCATACACAGCCTGTCCGCCAGGAATCCAGTCTCCGTGTCTCTTTTCCCCTTCCCCTCCCCTCCCCCGGCGTTTCATTCAAATCAAGGACGCGAGAGTGCGCCGCTCGGCGATGTTTCGCCCGTCCCCCTCTTTCGAGATGTTCTTAGACACGGCGTGCCTGATAACGAGCGAGTAGTCGTGGAATGCACCTACGCAGGCGGCGGCGGACAGCTCCTTCACCGGGCCCGTTCCCCGGGCTTGATGCCGTCGAGCATGCCTCCACTCGTCTTCCTCCTTGCTCGTCGTGGTTGAAGCCGGTGGCCATTTCCCCCTTTGGACAACGATGGTCATAGGTGACACGGGGGCGCCGCCATTCCAGGCGCAACCCAAGCCCCCCCGCCCGCCTCTCTCTCGACTAACAAGTCCATGTCCTGAGTGATTGTGGGGGCGAAGATGAAGAATGGGGGTCGATGGCAGGGACGAGTACCCCCATCACTGCCAGATATGATGCTCCCATTAGCATACGTCTCTGAGCTGATCGGCCGGGGCGAGGAAGATGGCATGTCGATGCCGAGCTCACTTCTCAGTAAACTCTACATCTTTCCTATCTTGGCTTTCCACGGCAAAGAAGATGTCATAGACCTGGGCAGTACAAATTCAACCTGCGCATTTGATGCCTGCCCCACTACAACTGTGATCCCAAGGCCGGCCTTCATATAGTGAAGGAGATACTATGCTGCAGTCACAGTCACTTCTTAGTAAATAGCATACCTTCGCCCGTCCCACATCCGGGGCTTCGAAACAAGGGCGCGTGGACGGGTCCTTCGCTCCGGAATTCGACGCCGCCGCGGCGCTTTTTCAGTACCTTTGTCTCGAGCCTCGACCGAAACTCGCCCGAGCAGCTCCTCCCAAGCCTGGCGACTTTCCCTCGGGGAGAACAGTCCGGACGCCGGGACAGCCGTGTCGGTGCTGGCGAGGCCTCTCCTAGAGACGCTGCAAAATGCGTGGAAAGGGCTTCCGTGATGAAGTGGTCTACGGTCGGGAGGCAAACTCTGGTCCCAAGCCGCTCGAGGAGCAGGGGTTGGGCCTTGTCGGTTGGAGGAGGGCGAGAGCGCGAAAGGCACCCGTCTCCTGGCTTTTGGGAGTTACAAAGGGACGATGAGAAGAGAGACACTGACACCCAGCCCCCCCCCCAACCTACAGCGCGCGCTATGGGCCGAGGGTTTCGCAATGAGTATGTGCCCCTTTCGCCAGGGGGTTGCCATGCTGACGCTGAGGCGGTGAAACCCCCGTGTTTGTGGGCGTTTGTCTGCCGAATCAGCGGTTCATGGTGTTGCTTTTGGATGAGGGGGGAAATGTTTCTGCGAAAAGTTTCTCACTTCCCCCCTCCCCGTTACCTACAGGGGGGAGGAGAGGGATACTTGCTTGGTTTGCATAAGGAAGGGTAAGCGGGCCAGCTTAGAACCGAAGACAGGAGTGTCCTCGGGAAGCAAGCTCGGCGTCAGAAGAAGAGACTTCCGCCTCTGTCAGAGTCATGCGTTGGGATGGGGGGGAAAAAACTAAAAGAAACTGTAAAAGGATGCTTAAATCGGCGCTTTGTCCGTTTGGACGAACCTTCCAACAACCTCGATCCGAGTAGGTGCTGGAGAGAGGGGCATGGCAAGTCAGACCGGCATCCGGCGGTGGATGGCCTCGGCGTGTTGAAGTAAGCTTCAGGTCATCCTGGGTGGGCTATAGCGTGACAACGAGCTTGTTGGCTCAAGAGTAAGTAAAGATGACGTGAGGCCCGGGTGGGCTGGGCTGGGCTATATCGACTTGCAGGCGGACTGGCCAATGGGTTCGTGACGTTGCTGAAGAGGGACGGCTTCCGGGGGGGGTTCGAAAGGTGCCGGTAATGCGCTTGTGAGATGATGCGGTGAAATCAACTCCCTCTCGCATATCCTTGAATGGCGAACAAGATGGAACATGACATGGGGAGGTGGGAATCATTGAAGCAAGAAACCAACGACTCTGCTCTAGGCACACCTGTCGTCAGCCGTCCGCAAGTCACAGGCGCTGTCGCACCCGATGTTTCCTTTCAATACTTTGCAGCTCGTCCACTTCGCGAGGCTTTGCTTACACTTCCGACTTCTTCCAAGCATAGAAAGTAACCTCCATCGCCGAGTGTAGCTCTTCCATCAGCTTCCCTGACTGATGACAGCAGCGCCTCGTCTCACGTAGGCTTGGCTCATGATACCTCAGGTGCTTCTCTCCACTTTCCTGTAGATGCCCTATACGCGATACTGACGTTCTGAGATACTTTGGCCCAGGCGTGAAACTTTGAAGGCACCTCACGCATTGCGCTTGACGGATGCTGTCTGCGTTGGTGATAAACCCACTGAGAGGCGTGTCAGCTCGACAGTATGACAGCGCAGCTTGAGATCGAAGATGCCCGGGTATTGCGTGGCAAGCCGGCTCACCACCGCGTCTACTTCAGCATTGTATGCTCGAAGCTCCGCCGGAGCCAGATCGGACTGCAACCAGTATACGTCGTAGAACCGCATTGGTATCCCATCCACCTCCAGGACAGTGTGGTCCTCGACGCTGAAGCTGCCGTTGTTTCCCCAGGTCTTGCCCCACGAATTCAGGAAGGTGAGGCAGTTGGGTTTGCAGTCAACCAAAACCACAGCATGGCCACCGCCACTGGGCAGAGAACGGTCTTCCGTCATCTGAGCCCGTTTGAACTGGCTTGGAGTTATCTTTTGGTTCTTTAAAGTGACGGTAGAACTTGTCCCAATCTGGCTCTAAAAGATGGAACGTTGCAAGCACAGGGCGCCGACGGAGCACCGCTTGGCGGGCTGCATCCTCATCTACCTCTAGGACTCGTAACTGATACTAACTAGCAGCATCATCCAATACGACTTTAGCATTTCGTCCATTTGCCCGTGCCGGGTAGGCTTTCAAGATCCGTTTACGAACTGTTCCGACATCATCGTACCCGCCTTGCCGACCGATGATACGACTCATGGCCATGCAAATCACCGCAGCGACGGCATGCGCATAGCAGATGGGATCCTGCCCTTGATCCGAAGGCTTCTGAAGCCCGCGGGTGTTCTCGTCATTAATGTACTCGCGCAAGCCTCAGCGCCTCCGAATTCTCAATTTCCCAATCTTCGCCCTGATTAGCGATGAACTCGCCAGCAAGTTTACTGGCGGCGTAGCCAGCCGCGGCATCAACAACAGGGCCAAAAACAATACTGCCTACATTGCTTGTAAGTTTCCCTGTACGTTTGACCTTTTGTTTAACCTTCTCTTTCTTCGCGTTTATCTCTTCCTCATTTGGTATCGCATCGGCAAATTCCCTTGATCTTTTCTGGATGTCGCTCAAGATGCGCATCGATAATTCGCGCCTCGTTCTCCGACAGCTTTTGGAATTCGCTTCTTGATATGCGGTACGCCTTCGTCATCGGCTCGCGCGATGAGAAGGTCATGACCGGACCGGTGTTCACCAGAGGGCCCCAGCAACGCACTCGCAACTTCGCAAAGATCGATTGCTGGTGGATATCCTTTGCCGGTATCAGGCCCAAAGACGCTAATGAGAACATAGGCTTCGGGGTTTGCGGTGGCGCTCTGACTGAGCGAGCTTCAGAGCTGCGCAGAGAACGGCACTGAGACGATCGCTTGCTCGATCATCAAGGCCATCCGTCTGGAGAGCTTCGCGCATGGACGCGGAAACATCGAGGAGGCAGCCGAATATGGTTGGGGGCGAGGTATTGCTCGCCGTGAATGTAATCTAAATCTTAAACTGTTGAGAGAACTGGTAAAGATGGAAGTGCAGAGAAGCATTTCGGGATGCGATGTCCCCAGAGATTATGTTCCGTGATGGTTGGTGCCTAACTCCTCAGCCTAATAGTATGTCAGGGCTACTATTGGCTACCTTCTCAAACTATTCTCATGCCAGCGGTCATTGCACGAGTATCAAGCTACGGTAAGTGGGAGGAATGGGTTTAACATGATTGGTAGGTGGGTATGGCCCTCTACGACGTATTATCAATACAGATCAACGCTTGGCCGACCTGGTACAACACCAAAGCTACAAAAACGGTGGCGTACTTGGTCTTTACCAACGACTATACGGCGAGAGTCACTTGACGATCGCAAGAAGCAAATCGTACGGGCGTTCAAGTTAACGTCGATCATCGCTTGACGGGAAAAGGCGAAGCGACATGACGTTCAAAACCAACAAGACACCCGTCGTCCGCTTCGCATACAACTATAGATTGCCGGATAATTGGTCGGGCTTTGTCATCAAGAGTGACACTGTCCGACCAAACCACCAGTCCTGACGATAGATACGAGACTGCTTTTCGCTATCTTCCGCAATGACCAGACAGCTGGTCGCAACGACAGCACCAACGATGGATTTTCCATTCAGTGTGCGGCAGGCGATACGCCATGGTAGAAGAGCAACATGTATTTAGGTGGTCACTAAGAGAGGCAGCCCCTCCAGTTCCTCTATGCATGAGACCGTATGCATTGAAATGTGCCAGTCGCGAAGGCTTTGTTACCCCCGTTGAGCAGCGAGCGCTTCACTCTTGGCCTGGCAACGTAATCATAAGTCATTCGAGCCCGGTTAACCATATCTAGAGCGCTCTCTGTAACCGCAAGTCACTATGTGATGTTTCTCCTCTTGTTGCTAAAACTGTATGGCTCCAGCAGATACAACAGGCCTATCCTATTAAAGCGTGGGCAATAGATAGGCCCACATAATATGCCAGAGTGGGCTATATCAAGGCGATCGATAGGATGAATTTTCCTACTTAAAGGTAAAATGTAATGTTACGTACATTTTACCTAAGGTAACAGATGGTACTATAGCAACAGGCCATAGAGATGGACACAATACATGCAATTGATTAATATTAATCAAAGATTATCACCGTACACAGGTACTTCGTTCATCGCATGTAGGCAAGCTTAAGTACTTGATCTCCTTTTTTTGTAGATGCCATACTTGGTAGTACGAAAACAGGCCTGGTGTCGGTGTTGAACGGCTCCATACAAACGACCAGTTTGATCCACAGCGGTTGTAGCCGTGGAGCACAGACATATACATATATGATCTACAGATAACTATGCATCGGTGAGCTTGATTTAATGCCGACCTCTCTTTGCAGATCATGCCATGTATTTACAAGACTCTCTGGGGAGAGTAGGAATTCGAAATATGTTCAAGAATAATGTGATACCACCGCTCTTCTCCCCTTTTCACAAGCCGAAAAACTTCATCTCATCGGCACCCCGGATAGGCACGGTGTGTCCAACACCAGTCGCCCAGACACCGGTAAGGTGATCACCAAACACATCGGTGCGGTAGTTGGTCTGCGGGGTGTTCTGCTTGGAGCTTTCGGGCTTGTCAGGGTTATATCCAAAGACGCCAGACCACTGCTTAATCGTTTCCTGGTAGTTGGCTGGGTACAGGGTAGTGTCGACGCTGCCGTGGTAGATCATCATACGCGGGCGTGTGCTGTTGTAGGAGGGATCGGCGCCTGTAACCTCCTCCGCCCACTGGCTGGCGGTTTTCTTCACGTTGCCGTGTGCGCAGTCAGAATTCCAGCCGTCAACGGTGCCTGTGTAGAAGCAACCCGCAGGCACACCGTTGTAGACAACCCCGGCAGCAAAAAGCTCAGGGTACGTCGCAGCCATGACGTTCTGTCATTGTTTGTCGGCGATTAGCCTGACTAGTGCTTAAACTTAAATGGTAGCCGGGGAGGGCCGGTTCTTTATCTTACAGTCATCATAGCACCGGACGAAGACCCTGTGACGAAAACCTTGGACTTGTCGGCCTTGTACCTGTCCAGGGCGTAAGTAACCATATTGGCGATAGAGTTGCTGTTGCCTCCGCCGTTATGTGTCAGAGTTGCCTTTGAGGAGACATCCCAGCAGGTTCCTGAGTATGGCGACTGGGGGTAAATAACGATAAAACCCTTCTGGTCGGCCAGTGACTTGTAAGGGGTGCCGCTAAAGTAAGCTTGTGCAGTTCCAGTGCAATAGTGAAGAGCGACGACAATTGCAGGGTTAGATGCCACCTTGTCAGGAATATAGATGAACATCTTGACGTTGCTGGGGTTCGATCCAAAGTTGTTGACCTGCTGGAGCGAGGCAGCGGCGGCAGAGGCGGCCAGGCCCAAGGCCGAGACGATAGCGCTGAACTTCATGACTGCTGTGATGGGTATGCGATGATATGTGCCAAGCCTGCAGATACGCCTGGTGTTTCCAACGTGGGGAAGAAGGGGTTGAATGGGTTTATACCGCGGGCGAGATCTGTGAAGGTGTCACCACGCTCCGCATGGAACTGCCGACTCAGGTCGTTAGTAAGAGGATGCCTCTTGTATGCATTCTACCTCAAACGCGGCTTGATCTCACCGGCAGACAGAAGCCGATGGCGTCGTAACCCCACATACCATGTGCAATGTTGATCTGGAAAGGGGGCACGGCGGAGCAACATGAGCGTCCATGGTCGGATTTTAGCCGGCGGCTTAATGCGATTCAATATTTCTGTCCGAAACGGACGGGAAAACAAGCTATCCTGGACAGGGATGAACACTCGTCCAATCTGCCAAGAAAGCTTGACCCCTGGAACTAGGCTTTCGAAGAAGAATTCTACCTGCAGGAAATTCGATTTGGATGCCGGTATAAGCTTCGGCGCGGCGAATTCCACGATGCAGCCCAGAACGATGCGCTTGGCGATGAAGGACGTTGTGCTGCACGCATGCTGCGAAAACCTTTCCGAGCAACAATAACCGAGATGCCTCCCACACAAAGAAAAGAGTTTGCGAACATCAAACAGCAGAAACAATATCGAGAACAGCTTTGAAGGTTGCAGCAGCGGGCCGTTCGGATAACTCGGAATACCGTGGCACCCGTCTCTTAAAGGGTCGATCTTATGATTTTTGCCAGCGATATAGTATCTATGGAGAGAACGAGGGCGCTGGTAGGCGGGAAATTATTGCCCAGATGGACTCGTCCGCAACTTTCAAGCAAAGATCGCCGCGTGGTCCACGGGTGTAATTTGTTCACGAGGATCGTGGCCAACTAGGTATGGCATAAGTACCCGCTCTTTTGGGCATATGAAATTTGTCAGTGGGGAAAATATGCCAGCGCACGCGGATTCTTTTTCTTGATGCATTTTGCCTGGTAATCATGGGTACTGAATGCACGCCGCCGTCTTGCCTCTACCGGACCTATGATTGATGCATTTATTCACAGTGGTCGGAATCCGAACTGATATTTTTTTTTCCCTTCCAGAAATCGATGGAAGTCGGCTCCAGGTTAAGCAAGGCGTTGCATTATCTCGAATATTGGGGAGAAATAGGCGCCGTTCCCGAGCCATGGTACGAAACGACGCTTGTGTGCCGATGAGATTAAGACTCTTGGTGAGGTGACGCACATTATTGGTCCATATCGACCGACCCAAAAGCTTTAGATATCCGGTCGCATGGGGCTGAGTCGCGATAACGTCCATGTCCAGCGGCTATGATCTCGCCCTGTTACACATAAATGAACTACGTATTGATATCGATCACACTGCTTAGGCGGAACGACATTCGACGGTACACAACCAACTTTGCGCAAATTGACTGATCAGAAAGGCGGCCGCTTTCTGACGACCCTGAGAACCGCCCCGAGATGTGCTGCCATCCGAACCCCTCTTCGGCGGGAATCCATCCATCTACCTGTTGCAGCCCACATGCAGCCGGCTAGCAACAACAGATTTCAGGTTCCTGGGGCTGCGAAACCGAGCCCCAATGAGCCGAAACCTGAGGACGAATATGACGGCATGTGGCAAAAATGACAAGTGAGGGGGGGGAGCAATTAAAAACATGTCGTTCGTTAAGCCGATAGGGAGGCCTGACCAATTTACGCAGAACGTAACTGCTCGTAAACAGTGTAACAGGCTTTTACCTCATGTAACAAGAGCCCAAGAAGGAGTCGACTGACGGCACGTTGCTATCAATCCCATGCCAAGATGCGGCTCGTGAGAGGTACTTGGAGGCAGGACGTAACAAGCTTCCATGGCGTTTCCGGCCAGTTCCCGGTGCGCCAACGGCTTGTGATTGGTCTGTACGGATAAGCCTGACATAGATTCGTAACAGCTCGGGGTTAACGAAGCGCGAGACGAACCAATTAATTTTCACATCACCCACCCAACCAGTACGTTTCCAGTCACATTATTAATTGCATTTAATCTATCTGATCGTGATGGGTCGACACGGCCCCCAACACACCTCCGTGGTAGTGGGTTCCCTAATCACGCCTCAAATCTGGCCTGACCAACATGCTAGGCTCCATCACAACGGCCGTAGGCATAGATTCGGCTCCCCCCTTGGGACCCCCTTGATGGTCATACTGCGTGTGACGAATGATATGGCCTGTTGATGGTACCCATGACGGACAATGTCCACCGTTTCCGTCCAGACTCCGCCCCACCCTTCGAATATATGGTTCCTTGGTAGCAAGCAAGCACACAACCGTAACCAGAAGATGAACAGTACAACCCCGTGCCATGGTAGTCTACGTAGTATGAGTCGAGTCGCCGGGTCGTCACCGCGCTCCTAGCCTGGTCGAGGCCCCGGTTTTAGCAGATGCCGAGCTCTTCGGTTAGCCTCGAACTGTACAAGGCTGTTTATGATGGCAATATCATGGACTGTTTGCGGACCAGTCAATCACAGACGGTCCTGTCATTTCAGACCCGTCCGGCGTGAGTCGTACATGTTCCCACCTTTTCCCGTCGAGGCTGTTCACATTTCGAGATATAAGATCCGTTGCCCAAGGCAGGCTCTCTGCATCATCTACTCACCAAACCACAGCCACTCATTCGTTTCTCGTGTCACATTCTTTTTTCTTCTTCGAGCCCTCTTGCCCAGTCCACATTCATTTGACAATGAAGTTCTCTACTAGCCTCGTGTGCCTGCTGGCACCCATCACCGCCCTCGCTGCCCCGATCGAGGAGAGGCAGGCCTCTCAGAGCATCGATAAGCTGTTCAAGGCCAAGGGCAAGCAGTACTATGGAAACATTGCCGACCCGAACCTCATCAACAACGCCAAGAACGCCGCCATCCTCAAGGCTGACTTTGGCGTCCTGACACCCGAGAACTCCATGAAGTGGCAGTCTATTGAGCCCACTCAGGGCAAGTTCAACTGGGCCGGCGCCGACGCCCTCGTCGACTTCGCCACCAAGAACGGCCAGAAGGTCCGCGGCCACACCCTGGTATGGCACTCCCAGCTTGCCAGCTACGTCTCGAACATCAAGGACAAGGCCACCCTCACCAAGGCCATTGAGGAGCACATCAGCGCTGTTGTCGGCCGTTACAAGGGCAAGATCATGCACTGGGTTAGTACAGCCCCCCCCTCTCACACACTCAATATAGAGCCCGTGCTGATTGCTTTCTGGCTAGGACGTCGTGAACGAGATGTTCAACGAGGACGGTAGCCTCCGCCCCTCTGTCTTCTCCAACGTTCTCGGCGAGGACTTTGTCCGCATCGCTTTCAAGGCTGCCAAGGCTGCCGACCCCAACGCTCTGCTCTTCATCAACGACTTCAACCTCGACAGCGCCAACTCCGCAAAGACCAAGGCCATGGCCAACAAGGTCAAGCAGTGGATCGCCCAGGGTATCCCTATTGACGGCATTGGTATGTTTATCCGCCTGGAGTCGACCATATCTGGCAGCTTATTCTAACGCGAATGTTCTACTACAGGCTCCCAGACTCACCTCAACCCCGGCCAGGCCGCCGGAGTCGCGGGTGCCCTCAAGACCCTCGCCAGCAGCGGTGTGAAGCACGTGGCCATCACCGAGCTCGACATTGCCGGCGCCAACCCCAACGACTACAGCACCGTCACCAAGGCCTGCTTGGACCTCCCGCAGTGCGTCGGTATCTCCGTCTGGGGTGTCCGCGACTCCGACAGCTGGAGGACCGGCGCGAACCCCCTTCTGTTCGACGCCAACTTCCAGCCCAAGCAGGCCTACAACGCCGTTGCCCAGGTCATCGGCTAGACTTATGATCCCCCGGTGGGGTGGGCGACGTTTCAGTGAAACGTCCAACGACTAACTCAGCACGCCTCGCCATGTTTTTTGGTGTGAGGGCTGATCTTCATGTATAAATTCTGCTTCTTTTTTTCTCTTCATGGGCCCTGGCGCCCTGTATACGACTGGTCCGTAAATATTCAGAAATAGATCTGAGATGACTTTTTATTCCGATTCCATGTTCGTACCTTGACGTGAACTGCTTGCCCTATAATCCACACCTGAATATGCTTTAAAATCTCGTTGGGTTAGGAACGCGTTGAGCGTAAATTCGAAGCTGAGACCCGCTGATTTCACTAAGCTGCTCTCCGCCGTTCACGTTATGTTTCATCTAACAGACTGGTCTATCACGTTACGGATCATGAAATGTAGGTTGCTAAATAGACCCAGGCTTTGTTTATGCGGCAGGCTCTCTGGTTGACGTTACAGACTAAACTGGAATAGAGATGAAAAGAAAAGAAAAGAAAACAACAAAGGGACCAAAAAACGGGGGGGGAAGGACACAAGATGGAGTTCGACCGCGAGACACATGTGTTGGGATGCTGAACATCTACAGAGGCTGGGCCAAGTGTAATACTAGAAGAGGCATGTGTGGTCTGGGTATCCGCAATATCTTCTTCTCTCCTATACAACCTGATAGGTTAACTATTTCTCACATATAATTGTGCGTCTAATGGTCTCATGACACCACTTATAGTATGTAGCTCTAGTAAAGGAGACCGGTCTCAAAGGTTTGTACCAAAAGACCATGAGAATAGTGAAAGCGTGTAGTGGAGTAGTTAGGGACTTTGGCCGTGGCGGAGATGTGCGTACAAACACAGCAACACCCAACGTCTCCAAAGCAACTCAGGTTCTAATTCTGATCATCTTGAGCCAACTAAGTCTGATCAGACTTAAGGGACTTAATCAGACTTAGCAAGAGGACTCCCTATCGCCTGACTTACCACGTGCAGACTAGATCAGTATAGATGTAAGGTTCTAGATTAATAATTTCCAAGGAGAAAGAAGAGTTAGAGAAGGAAGCATGTCTGATTCTCCATCTGCTGCGCTGATCGTTGAGCTCTTATACTTTGATCAGTTTGATAAGACCAACTCCTCCTAGAATAGCAAGCGCAATCCCCTGTCCCCGCTCTAATGGTTATGCAGCAGTGTAAACCTTTTTGTTCCAATCACCAACGTTATTGAAGTGAACTATATGAAACACTCTTGAGATTGAATCCCGCTCAGCCTTGGTAACAATAAGCATTGGAGACGCTCCCATGCCTGTGAGATCCCAGATCTATCTTGCCTCATTCCCTGTTCCGAGCTTGAAACCGGAATACAGCAGCTTACGGCTTTGATCCGGCCCTCGACGAGCTCGCTGTACCCGATACACCGTCTCATCGTCCTCAGGCCGCCGGCATATGACGACGAGGTTGACGAACCGGGTTGGGACCTGGCCCTCAGAGGGACCCGCCTTGTATTCGCAATTTTAGTCGGCGTTGCAAAGATACATCGGACTGCCGCTGCTCAATTTGCCTCGTTCATAGGCGTTGGACTTTGAAACTTTTGATGAGAAAGCCTGTCAGACTTTTTTCTTCCCTTTTTTTTCTTCCCCTTTTCTTTCTCTTCTTCTCTTCTTCTCTTCTTCTCTTCTTCTCTTCTTCTCTTCTTCTCTTCTTCTCTTCTTCTCTTCTTCTCTTCTTCTCTTCTTCTCTTTTATTGCCTGTATTCCTCTTTCCGTGCAAGCCAAGTTGGTTGACGGCTGGATGCTTGACGCCCAATAGCTGTTACACAGTAGATACCATTCTAGAGTGAAAACTATATAGTCCGCGCTCCGACCGAGAAGTCCAGAAACCCGGAACCGGACCCCGAGCCGAACAATGCCCCCATTTCAATATCGGCAAGTTACCATCGACCGTAATAAGGTATACACCCTCTATGTAACTGATAAATGGCTGGTAACAGAACAAACGGCAGGTTACAACCTAAAGCGCGACCGGGGCCGCAAACAACGCCAAGACTAGCCGATCCGATGACAGGACCGTATTTAATGGAATATCGAAGTAAGCAGCACATGAACACCCCTTGAACGGACCTGGAGCAGACACAAGAAAGACAAACACGGCTAGGCACCCGATATACGCCATTATACCCCGAGACGTAAGTACAGCATGCAAGAACAAGAAGCTCTCATTCCGTAACCCCTCCTATAAGGCTCATGATACTACTAGACCATAACCAAATTAATACATCGGAAGCTTATGCAGGTTGGATCCTGCGCCCCCCTTGGGCCGCTCTTTCCGCTTCGTGAGTTGTGAAACATCGTCTTGCCTTCCGTCGTAATCCTTCTTCCATAAGCATTCGTCGTTCAGAGACAAACGCTACATTCATTCCCCTTATCCACCGGCCACTGGAAAAGATGACCAAACAGCAAAACCCAACCATCCTCCATCCCCTGTGATCATCTCTAGAGAACATTGTCGTCATAAAAACGGAAACACTCTACTACACATCTTCGGCCGCGACAGCTTCGTAACCGCCCGTTCTCCTCCGCCCTCTGTTCATGTTCATCAGGCTCGGGCTCTCATACATGGCCGCGTAGTTGACGGGCTCGCCGCTCAAGATGGCAGAGCCGTTCTCGCGCTGGCCAAACATGGGCGCCGGGTCGCACCAGAAGTCGCGGCAGTTGGCCATGCAGCCGTTGGAGTAGGGGTTCTTCTTCCTCTTCTTGTTCTGGGTCGCGGCGCCGCGGCCACGGATGGTCTCGATGAAGGGGTCGACGCCTAGGAGGCGAGCCCACTGCTGGAGACGGCCGCCCTTGTGCTTGTGACCGTGGGCATGCCCATGGCCGCCAGCTCCTTCGGGAGGCGTCAGGGACGGGTGGTTCGGGTCCAGGGGCGTACCGGTCGATGTGAAGGCGGAGGTGAGGGAGCCATCTTGGATACCAAACATGTTCTCGTAGGTTGTCATCGCTCGAGAGACTTGTACAAACTGCACGAAAAGAAGCATACCGACCCACGTAAGCTGGAGAGTAACCCAGACAGTGAGAATTGCTGTATAGCCGTCGGCGTTGACAACCCTGCAAAGCCCAGGGCTAAGGAAGTTGCAGCTGTCTGAAGCCTTGTCAGAGATGTTGGAGTAGTCTAATGAGATGTTAGCATCAAGGTCGAAGCACGGGCAGTGCGGCACTTACAGTAGTAGACGAGGAAGTCGTAGGAGATGATGCCCAACGTCAAGCTGATGAGGTACAAGAAGAAATGGCGGTGGTTATTGACACCAACGCAGTTGTAGACCCAAGGGCAGTGGCTGTTCTCGTCAGCAATGTACTCGACCAAAGGGTTCGCGTCAACTCACTGATCATGCTTTGCGACACACTTCTGACACCGCCTGCAGTGCTTGCTGCGGAGGGGTGTCCGGATCATGCACGTAACGCAAAAGTTCGTCTCGTCGAATTTCCACTCCTTCAGGAGCTCGTCGATGACGGCCTTTTGCTCGGCGATGCCGTTCATCTTGGGCACGAATCCCGGATCGTATCGCATAGCGGCGCTGTAGAAGTAGGCGCAGAGCCCGAGGAAGGTGCCGAAGACCAGGTTCAACCACCAGTGCGACCCTGTAGCGTCTAGACCATGTCAGCGCCGATCGAAGCACGCCCGGGGGGGCTCTCCAATCCTACCTGATGAGCCGGTTGTGCCAGGCATGATAGTGGTCAGCCATCTCAGGCCGACCCAGAACACTGAAGCCGAAAAGATTCCGGCCAACCAGGGCTAATCTTGTCAGCAGAGGTCCGGATACCAGGGACTCGGCGGCTACTTACGGTCTTGTGGAAGTGTCGCATATCGGGCGGGGCAAATTCAATGACCTGCTGGGCGCACCACTGCAGTCCGTAGCCGACAGCCACAGCGAAGAGTACGCCGGCAAAGACTGGTAAGCTCCCCAGAATGGTGACCATGGACCAAACGAGGAGGAAGGGCCACAAGAACAGGAACCTGGTGACGAACCCCCTCTTATCCTGGCGGAGGAAGGTCGCGCCGGGGAACTGCGGCTCGATGGGTTGACCATCCTCGTCGTAGCCGCACTCCTGCAGGGCTCTGTGCCACGCGCCGGCCGTGTTGAGTTCCTTGGCCGTCACGGCCGGGGTCTTGCCGGTCTCCGTCTTGGCGAACCGGTCGGCGCCGTACTCGATCAGCTTCTGTATGCAGGCGGGAGAGCCTTTGACCAACGCCCAGTGCAGCGCGGTGAAACCTTGCTCGTCGGTGGTGTGTACGCTGGCGCCCCAGCGGAGGAAGAGGTCGACGCATTGCGGGAAGCCCTTGTAGGCGGACCACATCAGCGCCGTGTGCCCGTAGCTATCGAGCACGTCCACGGGGATGCCCTGGTGGAGGAGGAGGACGAGCAGGAGGGTGTTGCCGTTGAAGGTCGAGATGTGGAGGGTGTTGTAACCTTGGGCGTCGGTGATGAGGGGATCGGCTCCGTGCTGGAGGAGGAGGTTGACGGTGTAGTAATGGCATCGTTGGGCGGCCCACTGCAGGGGTGTCGCGACGGACTCTCCTCCTTTCTTGTTGATTTCGGCGCCGTTGTCGATTAGGAACTTGCACATGGCAAACTGATTGTTTATAGCGGCCCACTGTGAGCTGTTAGTACCATGTGATCAAAGGCTCGGTGCAAGCATGTAGGATGGCAACGTACATGCAAGGGTGTGATGCCTTCATCGTCAGTGTATGTCGCATCGTATTCTCCCGACTCAAAGAGCTTCTCCATGGCCGGTACGTCTCCCACCCGGGCGACCTGCATAATGTCGTTTTCGGCGGCCGGCGCATCGCCGCCAATGTTGCCCATCTCCAGCTCATTATTCAGCGTCGGCGCGGCGGCGCTCGTCTTGTTGGCCGGCTGGTTCGGGGCCACGGAGGGGGCAGCGGTGCCGCCTGGTGAGGTGGACTTGTCCATCGATGTCGGCGGTGGGAAGCCAGGCCTTGCGATGGGTCGGGTTTGAGAGGGTCGCGTGGACGCGAGAAAGAGAGAATGAGAGCGCTACGATAACGAAGAAAGCGGACGAAACGGGAGTGGTGTTGCTCGGAGGGTTACTGAGGCTCAAACCTAGCGACGCATTGCTTAAAGGTGGATTCGGACGGAGGGGACGTCGAACAGATAGACAAGGCAGGATTGATAAACGAAAAGGCCACAATCGTCGATAAGACAGGAAAAGGCGCCAAAAGCAAAAGCAAAGTAAGTGGACGGACGAGATTTGCGTGGTCGTCAGCACCCGAGCTCGGCAACGGTTGAGGACTGGGGGTGGGATTTAGAGGGGACTACCGGATGCATACCTGGGGATACGCTGTCCCTAAATCGGGACTAGCGAGGCTGAGCTGACAAAGGACCAGCCCACCTACTGTCTGCCGTGCTAGCCATGATTGGTGGGGTTGACAGCTAGCGCCCCAAAGCTTGGCACATGGACCCTGTTTAGTCGGGGGCCGACCTCCCCGACATCCCCAGCCTCATCTTTAAAGTGGATTTTTTGTGGCTGGGGCCGCCGACGAATGGAAAAGGAAAAAAAAGCAAGCTCCACTGACGAACAAGGACTCCGTAACGGGCGGCGATTTCTTCTGGAAATCTGTCAACGCGACCACGACCCAGCATCACCAAACCTCGTCCGTCCGTCCGTCCGTCCGTCACCAGGGTATCCCACCACAGGGGAGCAAAGCCATCGTTGCTCGCACTCTGTCAGATCAACTCCTCCGAACATCGCGACACGCCAGTGACACCTGGTCGCTGGAAATCATGGCCGACAAAATGGGCTCATTTACCGACTTCTTGGAGCTCATCATGACCCCCTCCATGCCGGTCCTCGCCATCGGCGCCGCCATCGTCCTCCTCTTCCCCATTCTCCTGCACTACATCCTGATCAAGTCGACGCCCTACACGACCCTCCCCTCGGTCCTCCTGCTGGGCCCCGCCGGCGCCGGCAAGACGGCCCTCCTCACCCTCTTCGAGCGCGGCGACGCCCCCGCCGCCACGCACACGAGCCAGCGGCCCCAGACGGTCGAGCTCACGGCCTCGCGCGACAGCAAGACGGCCCACAGCTTCCGCAACCACGACGACACGAGCGGCACCCACACAAAGTTCCTCCTCGTCGACACCCCGGGCCACGGCAAGCTGCGCAACCACGCAATGGACAAGCTCTCCGCCGCCGCCGCCGTCACGGACAAGTCCAAGCTCAGGGCCATCCTCTTCGTGGTCGACGCCGCCGCCATCGGCGAGAACGACGTCCTCGCGCCGACCGCCGGCTACCTCTACGACGTCCTCCTGGCCCTGCAGAAGCGCGCCGCCTCGGGCAAGTCGTCCAAGCCCCCCGCACCCGTCCCCGTCCTCGTCGCCGCCAACAAGACGGACCTCTTCACGGCGCTGCCCGCCACCCTGGTCAAGTCGAGCCTCGAAGCCGAGATCACCCGGATACGCTCGTCGCGCAGCAAGGGCCTGCTGGACTCGGGTGTCGGCATCGACGACGTCGGCTCCGAGGAGCACGACGACTGGCTGGGCGCCTACGGCACGGAAAAGTTCACCTTTGACCAGCTGCGCGAGTTCGACATCGACGTCGACGTCATTGGCGGCAACATCACCGGGAGCGGCTCGGGGCCCGACAAGTGGTGGTCCTGGATCGCCCAGCGGGTATAGGGGAGGGGGAAAAAGGACAAATAGTAATAATAATAATAATAAAAAAACATATCGGGTCCCGTAGGCGAGGATACGGCCCATTTCAGACGCGCCAAGAACAAAAAAAGAGAAAAAAGGAATTGTAATTGTGATTGCGATTGTGTGAATCTATTCTTTCAGGTCCAGAGCCGCCATGTTCTCTCCGTGTGTAGATGTTGAGTCTACCCTGTCCCGAAATTTCCAAGCCAATATTGCCAACCGAGGCCAGTTGATGCGACCCAAGATTCGTGCCTGCCACCCTGCTATATGCCCGCTTCTAAACGCCGATGCCCGGGACTACCGTCTTCTTCATGTAGTCTTGTATTTTCTTGCCTTCTTCGTCTCTTTTTTGTATTCTCTATGCCCAACCCCAAAAAAGCCAATCCGTCATTTCTATTGAAAGTTAGGAGAGGAAAAAAGAAATAGTATTTAGGCCTTCTTCTTGACAACCCAAGTGAGCAAGTCAACCTTGGTGACGACGGCCACCGGCTTGGACAGGCCGCTGGAGCCCTCGGCCTTCTCGGTGACGACGGCGGCGCTGTTCCACTCGAGGAACTTGCTGAGGACGGAGAGCGGGGTGTCGAGGGTGATCTCGACAAAGTTGCGCTTCTTCTTCCTCTTGGTCTTGTCGCCGCCCTCGCCGACCTGCCTGGGGTCCGTGACGACCTCGTCGAGGCGGCCAAAGTCGAACATGACGTCGCTGACGGGGCTGGAGGCGGTGGCGCGGCCCGAGGAGATGTAGCTGAGCAGGTTGCCGAGCGTGACCAGGCCGACGAGCTTGTTGCCGGCGGCGGACAGGACGGGGAGCTGGTCGAAGCCCTTGTCGCGCATGATCTCGGATGCCTCGGCGCAGGGGCTCGTGGCGGAGACGGACATGACGGGCTTCAGGCGCAGGGCGCGGACGGTGGCGCCCTCGTAGGGGTCGTTGCCGGCGGCGGCGGGCTTCTCAGCGGCAGTGTTGGTGGTGGCGTGGGAGTCGTGGCCGTTGACCTCGGGGAGGAGGTCGTTGGCGGCGAGCCAGTCGTCGTCGGCGAACTTGGAGAGGTAGCTGCGAATGCTGTCGGGCAGGACGACGACGATGGTGTGGCCCTTGCCGAGGCCGAGGTCCTTGACGGCGCGGACCATGGCTGCCATGGCGGAGCCGGAGCTGCCACCGACGAGCAGGCCCTCCTCGGCGATGAGGCGGCGGGCGAGCTGGAAGGACTCGCGGTCCTCGGTCTTGTACCACTTGTCGACGATGGGGCGGTCGAGGACGTCGGGGATGAAGTCGTAGCCGATGCCCTCGACCTTGTAGGACTCGTTCTCGTGCTCCTTGTTGAGGGACTCGGGCAGGGCGAGGATGCTGCCGTGGGGGTCGGCGGCGATGACCTTGACGTCCTTGTTGTGCTTGCGCAGGCCGCGGGCGATGCCGGTGATGGTGCCGCCGGTGCCAGCGCCAGCGACGACGGCGTCGACGCGGCCGCCGGTCTGGGCCCAGATCTCCTCGGCGGTGCCGTACTCGTGGGCGAGAGGGTTGTCGGCGTTGACGTACTGGTCGAGGATGTGGGCGTTGGGGATCTCCTTCTCGAGGCGGCGGGCGACGCCGATGTGCGACTCGGGGCTGTCCCATGCGGCCTGGGTGGGGGTGCGGATGATGGTGGCGCCGAGGGCGCGGAGGACGGAGACCTTTTCGGCGGACATCTTTTCGGGGAGGGTGATGATGGTCTTGTAGCCCTTGATGGCGCCAACGAGGGCCAGGCCAATGCCACTGTGTTGTGTCAGTTTCTTGTGCCAAAAACGACATTTTGGGAAGAGACGGGGAAGGTAGATGGTGCGTACGTGTTGCCACTGGTGGGCTCGATGAGGGTGTCGCCGGGCTTGATGCGGCCGGACCTCTCGGCCTCCTCAATCATGCGCAGGGCGATTCTGTCCTTGACGCTGCCGCCGGCGTTGAAGAGCTCGACCTTGGCGTAAACCTCGGCCTCGATGCCCAGGCTCTGGGGGATCTTGTTGAGACGCACGAGGGGCGTGTTTCCGATGAGGTCGGTGGCCGACTGAGCGGTAACGGCCACCCGGGTGTCGTTAATGGACTTGATGTCGCCCATGGTTGCGTATGAATGACTGGGTTGGGATCGGGGGGTGTTGGTTGAGAGGAGCAGCAGAGAGGAAAGGGTTGCAGGAAAGAGGGGGAGAGAGAGGGGGAGAGAGAGGGAGATGGACAGAGAGAAGGAGAAAATAATTAAAACGGTCAGGCCACGGACGTCATGTAGTAGTCTATGCGGTGCGACGGGTGGGAAAAAGAGAAACACAATCAATCCACTGGGTGGGATGGTGTGAGAATTGGAAAAAATGACCCCGCCAACGCCGAAGATATCCGCCCCAAGGGGGCGCCCTTGTCCATACAGCTGTTCGCCCGCTGAGGGGCAAATGGCGAGAGACAGGGCCCGGACCGCTTACCTAATGCATATCGTACATCGTACAAACGTACCTAGTGGACTCCGTACCTTTGCAGGGTTTTCTTTTACCGCTTCCAGTCTAAGGTTCCGAGGGAAGTACGGTGTGTAAGTAAGTATTGTATAACCCCCACGCCTTGCGCAAGAGCGAGTGTACCATGGTACCGATCCATACACGATACTATAGAGCACGCCGTAATGTGGTTCGTTGCCCCCGGTGAATTTTCTGATTTTTCTTTTTTCTTTTTCTTTTTTTCTTGTTTCTGTTTTTCCTCCTGGAATCCCCCCCTTCTCTCCACGCTGTTCGGAGTACGGAGACGCTTTTGCCCCATCCAACCGTGGCCACTTCAAGGTTACCATTATGTCATGACCGAGAAAACCATCAACGGCCCCTTGTCTCTCGGTGTTTCCCGAGTCTTGTTCTGATTTTCCGGCAAGGTTTCAACTGACTCAACTCTTGTGATTATCAACCATGCCCTGGGTTGCACCAACAGAAAGGGCCTTTGCTCGAATCCCGACTCGTCGGCCACATGTCTCGGCCGCCTGTACCCACAACCCCCGGCCGGGCCGCCGCTGGATCCGACTTGTGCCACCGCCGCAGCACACAACAGAAACATACTCTCTCCTTTGGGCCTCGACAGTCATCAAGACTGACTATAATACTCCAGCCATCTTTCCCAGTCGTACTATTTCGGGGGAGAAAAAACCCTAACCACCTGATCATATTGCTGAGAATGTAACCTGTTCCCTGTAAACTCGGTCCCTCTCATGCGCCACCGACTCGTCCGCGATTCGGCCGAATATCTCTCGCGAACCCATGTGTTGTAAAGCCACCATCACCAGAAAGCAGCCCAATGAGGAACTCTTGCACTCACTCGTCCGCCCGCAGTGGTCCGCGATAGAGCTTTAAAGACAGCATGCGAATGATGTATATCCGATGTCTCTCGGCGTTCAGGTTTCGCGACATTCAATCATCTCTGGTATTCGCCCCCTTTGCCCTGGCGTTCATTCAGCATCATTTGTCCTTCTCGTCAGTCTCGGCAGTCCAAGTATAGGTGACGATGGCCCAGCCTTCCGACTCGCCTGTCAAGAAACATGTCGCCATTCTCGGTGGCTCATATGGCGGCATCTCAACGGCACACTACCTCCTCAGGCACGCCCTACCGAGACTGCCACGCCCCGAGGAGTACCAGGTGATTCTCGTCAGTCCTTCGGCCCAAGCCATGTGTCGGTAGGCATGTCCTCGAGCCTTGCTCTCCGACGACATGTTCCCGCAACACAAGCTCTTTGTCGGCATCTCCTCCATGTTCGAGTCGTATGCCCAAGGTACTTTTTTATTCCTCCATGGAACAGCAACGGCACTCGACCACGTCAACCGCACCGTGACCATCGACATGGCAGGCGAAAAAGGCGTCAAGATACTCGACTACCACGCAGTAGTCATTGCCACTGGCGCGTCGACGCCTTCACCTCTGCTAGGTCTCAACTCCGCCTCGGAAGATCTGCGCCAGAGCTGGGCTGTCTTCCGAAAGGCCCTCCCAGCCGCAAAAAGCATCGTCATACCCGGCGGAGGCCCAGCGGGCGTCGAGACCGCCGGCGAACTCGGGGAATACCTCAACGGTCAGTCGCGCCGGCTGCAAACCTCCCTGGGGGTCCCGAAAGCCACCATCACACTCGTGACCTCCGCGTCTGAGATCCTCCCCGCGCTTCGCCCGGCCATCGCGCGCAAAGCAGAGAGCTACCTCGCCCAGGTTGGTGTCACCGTTCGCAAGGGCGTCTGGGTCTGCAGCGTGCGCCCTGCGGCGGCCGGGGCGGGCGAGGTCGCGGCAACGGCGGCCGTCATCCTCGACAGCGGGGAAACGCTCGACGCGGACCTCTACATCCTGGCACTGTGGGCTGAGGCGATGAAGTGGCCTGGTTGATGGCCAGAATTCGACGGACGGCAGGGTGAGCACCAACTCCTCGACCCTCCGCGTCGACCCAGCCGGGCCCCAGGTCTACGCCGTCGGCGACGCGTCCTCCTACGCCCGACCCGCCGTACACAACATCCTGGCCGCCGTTCCGGTTCTGTGCACCAACCTCAGGCGGGACCTCCTCCTGGCGTCGGAGAACCCTGAGGAGGCAGAGGGCCAGGACAGGCTGTTTACGGAAGATCCTCGCGAGAACCATCTGGTCCCGGTTGGCAGGAGCAAGGGCGTCGGCGCCGCGATGGGTTATCAGCTGCCCAGCTTCCTGGTGTGCATGATCAAGGGCCGGGATTACTGGCTTTGGACGACGGAGAACCTCTGGAGTGGCAAGCAATGGGCCAAGGAGTTCTGAATGTGGTGCGGACTAGATTCGTGGGCCCTTCCGAAACCCGGTTGCCGTAAGTTGAGCATCGTGATAGGCCGTAGGTTCAGCTTGTCGGTTGGTATGCATTATTGCTTTTTGACAAGGAATATCCGCAGTTCCAGAACTTTATAATTCAGCCATCTGTCTCACTTCCAATCATAGCGCACACTTCACCCAGCTCTATACGAAAGTCCAAGTGATGACAGTTAAAGATTACTCTGCCTGGTTCCGAGAATGCCAACATCAAACAGCAGAAAGTGAGCATTGGAATCCTCTATAATCTCCACAATTGACTCATTGGGGTATCTGCAATGCAAATTTTCTGCCCGAGTATACTCCAGTATCACATGGGTACGCCGAATGATGCCGCCCGTCTGTTGATGGCTGAGACTGGGCCAACAGCCGCTCCAGGGACCTTGTGTTACCTCCAATCGCCAATCCTGGCAGCATGTCCACAAGATTCCTCACGGGCACGGTGTGCCCGAGTAATCACGCCCAAGACTCTTGCCATACTATGTGGCTGACCTCAGCCTCTCCAATCCGAGCATCCGCCTGACAGAAAAGATGGCTTACGTCAAGTACTTTCCCACACCACATCTACCCCAAGGCGATTAACAAGTGTTTTTTCTATACACAAATAAGACCAAAAGACGCAATTAAGATGTACAGAAAACATACTTAGTAGTAAGTGGGACAGACTAGTGTAAACTTTTATTAATTTGTATAGGTCTATCTATATATTTAGTGTTATGCTGTTTGTACTACTACGGGTAGTGCTAACGTGGGTTGTTTTTTCTGTCATGCGGGTACGGAGCTGATGGTCATGAATGGCTAATAGGGTTAGTGTGTCTCAATCCAGCTTTAACCACACGTCGGCCAACGAGCGTAGGTCAAGCCATCGGATACCTCCGACGATAGTAATAGTTTGGCGTCAGATTCGCTGACCATCTTGTCTCTTGGGAGACCAATGAGCGGCTCCAGCCCTGAACTGTCTCGACAAGATACCAGTTCTCAAGGTCGCGTGTGTAGATCATGTCTCCCATACATAGGCTATTCGCCATTCCGCCTGAGGCGATATCACATGCGGGAGTTCGTATCATTATAAAGCCCTTCCTCGTGTTGCTACCGGTGGCCAACTGTCATATCTGAACCAGGAAAACCACAGTCGTCGCACCATCTTTAACTACTCGACAAAAGCTTACTCGCAGCCATGCCTCGTATCCAAGACTTGGAGGGTATGCAATACTCTCGTACCGGAGACGAGCTCGAACAGCAAGACTATGCATTCTTCAACCAGCAGTATGCCACCTCTTCCTACCAAGAGGAGCACGACATGAACCCGGACCTCATCGTCCGTCCCAAACACGACCAGGATGTCGTTAAAACCGTCAACTGGGCCCGCGAGAACAATGTCGCTGTCGCCGTGAAGAGCGGCGGTCACCAGTACAGCGGCGCGTCGTCCACGGGCGGCAGTAACATACAGCTTGATCTGAGCAACACCTACAAAGACCTGATGATTATACGACCCAAGGACCCTATTGCGGAGGACAAGACGCTCGTCTATATCGGCGTCAGCACCACCATGATGGACCTCAACAAGTACCTCAAGCACAACAAGCTCTTCGTCCCCACTGGGCAATGTGCCTTTGTCGGCGTGGGTGGCCACGGCCAGACTGGCGGCTACGGACAGCTCGGTCGCAGCTTTGGCCTTTTTGGCGACCATATAAAGACCATCCGGCTCGTCTGCCACGATGGTATCATCCGTGACATCACCAAGGCCAACGACCCAGAACTCTTCTATGCTCTGCTCGGCGGCAGCCCTGGCAACTTTGGAATCATTACACACTATGTCGTTGAGGTGTATAAGTCCAAGAGTTACCTTGGCACTGTTTCTGGACCTAACAACTTCAAGGGCCCCCATGGAATCAAGGCCTTCTGGATCTATAGCAAAGAAGTCCTCACCCGCCTCCTCACTACTGTCGCTGCTATGGCTGACGATCCTACTTTCCCCCGTGGCTTCGACTTATGCGTCAGCGTCGTCAGCATGGACTTTCCTATGGCAACGTTGTTCAAGGACCTCAACGACGCGACCGTCTGGGAACGTATCCAGGACAAGATCAGGCACGTGCTCGAGGACGAATTCCTCAAGTTCCTCAACGGCAAGTTCCCCGCGTCCATCATCCTCTATGCCCAGTGGTGCCCGACCAACAAGGGCGACAAGTACGACGCGAGTGTCGACGCCTGGTTCGCAAAGTTCCGGGAACTCAAGGGGCTGCTGGAGAACGAGACCCTCCAGTTCAACGAGTTCGACATGGAAATGTCCGACATGACGGGCCAGTGGCTCTTCCCGAAGGCGCGCGAGTTCGACCTGCCCTACGTCAAACGCACCTACGCGACCAAGTCGACGACGCTGGGCAAGGACAATTGGGTCGACGCCGTGGTCAGCCGCATCGATCTCATCTACGGCCCGGAGCACTTCCTCCAGGGGGTAGCCGGCGAGAAGAGCTTCGAGCGCTACATGCGGTGCAAGCTCTCCGTGCAGATCCAGTGCTTTGGCGGCAAAAGCTCGCGCTTCTACACCAACAGGGACAACGGGACCTCGTACAGCTGGAGGGACTCGTCCGTCTTGCAGACCCTGGACTGCTTCCACAACCCGGACGAGGAATCCAAGAAGTACGCGCAGGCGTGGCAGGCCAAGAATGACGCCATCATGATCGGGCCGCAGAGCCCTTTCAGCAAACAGGACAGACGCGTGCTTTGGGGTTCCTACGGGGACTGGAGGATGGCCGATGAGAAGATCTGGAGGACGTACTACGAGGACGAGGCCAAGTACAAGCGCCTTGGGAAAACCAGGGCCAAAGCTGATCCCAACGGCACTTTCACCGCGAACCCTTTTGCGGTCACCGCGGTTCGCGATTGAAATAGATGGTAGTGGACACCATGGAGACTCGTAACTGTTAGTGTCTGTACGCGTTCTAGGCCGACCCTCAAATTGTTGAACTATTGCTGTTTCTGAAACTGCGGTCACATTCAAAATCGCGTGCTTTTGATTTCCGCGACCAAGCAAGACAGCTCAGTTCATCGTTGGACAAGCTGTTCCGGTTCTGGCCCGTCGTCCCGCCGTTGATTTTCAGAAAGGAAAAGTTCACGCCTTTGGAGGGCGGTTCGACCTTCTGGGCGAAGAGGGCGAAACCGGCAAACTTGGCGACCTGCCTCTGAGAGGCGTATACCCCGAGACCCCGGGCCTTGCTGACTTTCAGGTTTGCGGGGATGTTATACAGAGCCCTGATGCAACTGGGCGTAATGGTCCTATTGCCATGTGGGATCAATTCATCCGGCCTAGTCGCTCAGTGAAGGCATAGCATCCACCTGTGATGTGAGCATAATCTTGGGTCTCAGTCCCGCAAATGGCCTTCTGTGCTTTCGAAGAGGGATCTGAGCAGAACCTCATGGTAAGGATTATCAACGAGATCACGCTTCTTAAGTCCTGTGGCAGCGAGTATTGCAACGGCCTTAAGACCTCCTTGCCGCTGTCCCAGTGCTGGAACCATGCGTAGCCCGCATCCAGAAGCTTGTCAGCATCCCTCACCGTCGTTTTCAGCCGAATCCAATGGCTGTCGCTGATGACATGCGCGGGTTCCACGTCTGTCTGCTCGAGGAGCCAGCTCATGATGGCATCACGAGCTCCGTGATCTAGATTGAGCAGCCATTGTGCCTCATCCCGTGATAAGTGCTTGCCATAGAGCTCTGGACCAGGTGTCAAGACGCTGTAGAGGGCTCGCTCCACGTGGAAACACTTCTCAACCGCGATTGAAAGATTGAATATATGGCTCGGGTCTGTGGGCTGGGAACGTATCAATTCCGATGGTGGAGTGTTGGAAAATTCCACCTATACCAGGTCACGCCACGATACGTGGGCGAAGGTAAGGGAGAAAGAAAGAGGAAGAAAAGCGGCGCATCAACACGACATAGGTTACACCCTGTTATACAGTAGTTACTAGTCACTATAAAAATGTAATAAAGTTATATAACTGTTAGTTAAATCACGTAAGAGGGATATCCTATAGATTACATAATAAATTATAATATAGAATATAGTTACTTATTATATTAGTTAGTTATAAAGTAAATCTAGACTTTTAGGTAGTATACTAGTAGTAAGGTAGATACTACTAAGGGAGGCAGTATATTATATAAATATTATATAACTACCTCCCCTAAAGTATACCTACTATATACTAATACTAGTAACTTTTCTTTTATAGTAAAAGTCACTAGTGCCCTAGCTATCTAGATTGCCTTTAAAAGGCCTAAAAACGTAATAAAAATTAAAACTCTAAAAGTATTACACTTTTTGTAGTTACGTGCTGTATATTCTTATATCCTCTATTTTTCCTTATAGATAGCGCAGGCTTACACTAACTTATTTAGGGGCGTTTTTTTTTAGCTATAGCTATTAAAGGTGTATTTCTATATTAGTTAGATTTAACTACTACTATTATAATCTAGTTAGTTATATAACTTATAATTTATTTTTTACTATATACTTATTATAATTTATTATACTTATATAACCTAACCCTCTATATATATTTTAGCTTTATTATTTATAACTAGGCCCTTAAGTACTTAATTTAAGGATACCTTTATAAATCTATTAGCTAGATTATTAGATCTAGTAATCTATTAGACTTTATAAAGCTTATATTACTTATAAGACTATCTTAGTAATATAATATTAATTATAAGACGCTTCTCCTTTATAGTTCCTAGCTTAACTAAGTATTTATAAAGTAAATATAAGTCTATATATATAATAGTTAGGATTAATAAAATATTAAGCTTCTTTATAATTATTATAATAGTTATAAAGAGGGTATAAGCTATATTAATACCTATAACTATTTTATATACTTTAGATATAAAGACGCTTTAGGTAACTTATTTAGACTTTATAAATAAGAAATAAAGAATATTACTATAAAGAAAAAATTTAGCTTAGTTATTATTAACTTCTTTATTTATAAAGAGGATAATAAATCCTAACTATAAAGTTATATTATAATTATTAGTAAATAATCTATTTATAAATATAAATAGCTTAGCTAATATAAGATCTAAGAGAATAAATTATAAACTATAGTTAAGTAAGCTTATTTACTATTATAGTTAATAGTTAAGGTCTTTAATTACCTTATTATTTAGCTCTTTATATTAGGCTATAATAGAAAGATTATAGTACGCTTTAGGCTAGTAAATAGAGGTAATATATACTTCTTATACCTATTACTAGATAAAATCTTAGTAGGCTATAAGTAACTTTATATTAATTAATTATAGTTTTACTTCTTACCTTTTTTAGTAAAGCGTAATAAAAGTGTTTATAGTAAATATAACTATAATAATCTTACTATTAAAAGTAAGTAGTTAGTTAATAATAAGAAATAACTTATTTTTTATAGTAAATTTTACTTTAGTTAGTTTTTTATTCTCTTAGTTAGAAAATAAAAGGTCTATTAGGCTAATAGTATTATCTATTTATATACTAATAAGTATAAAGTATAGATTTTTACTAAATAATAAGAGAAAGTAGGGGTTATATATAGTAAAGACTATCTAGAGATTCTCCTTATAATAATAGTTATAAGTAGCCTACTAGTATATACCTACCTTAGTAATCTTATATAAAGGCTTAATAACCTTTATAATAGTATTATTAAGGTACTTATAATAGATTTAGGCTAGAAGTTTAATATAAATAGTATAGTTAAGGTAAGAAGTAGATTAAATATAGGCTTATATAATATTATATAGCTATATAACTTTACTATTAATAAAAAGAGAAAAAGCTAGTATAAAGATAAGCTACTAGCTAGCTTACTAGATAGTAAGTAACTAAGTAAGAATAGCCTCCTTACTATTATTAGTATAGCCTTAAATAATAAGGCGTAATTTCTTATAAGGCTTCTTATTAGTGTCTTTTACCTTATTTATAATTTATAATTTAAAAATTTACTTATATAGCTAAAGTTAGTTAATTATAGTAAATTTAAAGACGCCTTATATAATAAGGCTGTTAATCTTAGTAGCTACTAATTACTTAAATAGCTTACTAGGTGTTATAATAACGCCCTTTTTATATAGTTAGATTATAAGGGTTTAATAGGTTTTTTCTTTTACTAAGAGGAAGGTAGTATAAGGTATATTAGTCTTTTATAGTAAAGTGTATCTTATAGGGATTTTTTTAGCTTATTAAGGTTATATAATAGTAAAATTATTAGTATATAGCTACTACCCTAAACTAGTTATAATAATAATAGTATTTTTAGTAGGCTTATTACTATAACTACTATTATTATTTAAGATAAATAGGGGACGTTACTTAGCTAAGCCTCCTTTTTTATTATTTACTATATAATATAGCTTAACTAATATAGATTAAAAAATATAAAGGCTATTAATATTAATAGTAAAGTCTTTACCTTAAGTAGTAAGTAACTTATATAGGCTAGACTAACCTCCTTTTTTACACTAGATATAGACGTTACTACCTAAAGGTAGATCCTTTATTATAGAGGTATCTAGGCTGTTATAGGTAGTAAAAGCCTTATTAATTTACTATATTATATTATATTTATAAAGATTCTTAGTTACTTTTTAAATAGTAGTTATATATTAGATTATCTTAAGTAAAAAAGTAGAGTTAGTAGTTATATAAAGGTAAGCACTAAATACTAATAAAGTAGGTATAAGGCTATTTAGGCTAGTAGTATTATTAACTACTTTAGTAGCACTTTAAAGTGCTACTTTATAGTTAATAGATAGGTATTTTTTTTAGATTATTTTATATACTTATTAAAGTATAGTGTAGTATCTCTTAACCTTCTTAACGCTATAATACACTTTAATAGAGATAATCTTAACTTTAACGCCTATTATATAGGCTTTATATAAAAATTTAGTTAAGATAAAGTTCTGCCTTATATTAGTAATAATCTAATCTAGAGGTCCTTAGTAGATATTAATTTAGTAATAATATAATACCTCTTATATAGTTTTTACTAAAATATTATAAAGGAAGTAAGCTACGTTAAAGGTAGTAGTAGTATTAATAACGTAAAGTATAAGGTTACTATTAAGGTATATAATATTAATAATAACTTTATAATTAAATAAATAGTTATTATATAAGGTAAATTAGAATTAAGAAGAAGCCTTTCTATAGATCTAGTAATAATAATAGTACTTTATTAAGTGTTTAATTACTTTTATTTTAACCTTATAGCTAGCTTTATAAAGTATCTTATATAGGTAGTAAATTAATAGGTAGCTAAACTGTTAATAAAGGTAGTATAACTTAATGTTAGTTAGGTAATAACTTATAAGGCTTTACTTAGGTAGGCTAAGTAGTATCTATAGGTAGCCTTATTTTTATATAACTAGCACTATAAGTTTACCTTATTAAAAAGTATTTATAAGGTTATTAAATTAAATTAATAGCTAATTTATATTAGCTAAGTAAAGTAGGAAAGGTATATTAGTAGGTATTATATAAAAAGTAATATACCTAAGGGAAGTTTTTACTATAATAGTGCCTTATAAAGTAATAGTATTACTATTACTAAACCTAATCTTTACTTTACCTATAGCTATAGTGTTAATAGTTATAAATAGTTAAATTTACTATAGTATAATAGCTTATAAGTAGCCTATAGTTAAGTAACTTACTATGCCTATATCTAGTAAAATACCTTAAAAGGTAGCTAATAAGTAATAATCTAGTATAAAGGTACTAAGTGACTTAGTAAAGATACTATTAGGGTTAATTTTTATTAATTAGTAATAAATAGCTTAGTTAGTAAGGTTAGTAGTAAGTATATTACTATTTACTTTAGTGCTACTAAAGAATATAGTTAAGGTGTAAAATATACTATTATCTTATTTTTTATTATTACTAATAATAAAGTAGGCCCCTTAAAGATACTACTAAAGATCTTTATTATTATTACTATTTTTATCTTCTTTTTCCTATAGATAGGTGCCTTTATAGCTAGTAAGGAAGGTGTTATATATAGTTAGTAAGGTATCTTTAATATAACAGTTACTTTTAAATTACTAGTACGCTTTACGTCTTTTATTAGTAGTATACTTTATTAACTAGTAGCTAGGCTTATAGTAAACGTAGTACTTTTTAGTATTATAGCTACTATTATTATTATTACTATTATAAAACTTACTACTACTATAGTTATTACTAAACTATTAATAACAGCCTTAGCCTTAGTAGGTATAGTCTACTTAATATTAATTATTAGGTAATAAAGGTAAGGATTTAGTAAGGTACTAGCTATAGTAAGGGCGCCTTATAGTAGTACTAATAAATAACTATAATTAGCTATATACTCCTTTTAATATTATAGCTAGAGTATATAGGTAAAGGTTACACTTAGGAACCCTAAAGTAAGTATTTAGTAACTAACTTCTTAGCACCTTATTATTTTAGTATAATAAGGGGAAAGCCTATTAAATAAGGGCTAGCTTTAAGATAAGCTCCTTAAGGGCTTAGATCTTAGTTATTATAAGATTATTATATATAACTTAAGGAAGTATTATTTCTTACTATTTAGATAAGTAAGTCTGCGTTTATTCCTATATCTTAAAGTAGTTATAAATTTAGTTAACTATCTTATTAAAATTATAAATACTATTACTATAAATATAATTAATATAGAACTAAGATACCTTACCTTTTAATATAATAAAAAAAGTAGGACTAAGTTAGTGTTACTTAATTTTAACCTTACTATAGTTATCTTAAAAGATACTTAACTTAAGATTAAGAACGTTATATAGCTTACTGCTATACTTTATTTTATTAGTTAGTAGCTTTATAAAGTTAGTTAGCTAATATAGGTAAGGTTATAAAGAAAAAATAGGTATAAATTTAGATTTATATAGTAGCTAACGTTATAACTTATTATAGCCTTATAATTAAAATCTCTATATAGTGCCTTAAGGTAAGAGGTTAGTAGTAGGCTTAAGGTTATTTAATAAATTAAATAGTATATCTTACTAAGGATTTATTTTATTTATTATAATAGGCTAACTACCTAATTACTTACTGTACTAGTTATAATAAGGGTGAGGGGTTCTTAGGTTACGTAACAGGGTATTAATAAATAAAGTACTTATATTACCTCTAAGTACTAGGTTTAGATTAGTAAGTGCCTAGTAGATTTTATCTTATTATAAAAGTAAGGTTAGGCTATTTTACTTCTACTTTAGCTAGTAGTAATTTACTATTAGTAAATAAGTTAAAGTAAATAAGGTTAGCTACCTTTATAAAGTAGTATTAGCTATTATTTATAATAATATTAAAAAAGTAGTAAATAAGGCCTAATTAATTATTAATCTCTCCTTAGGTAAGATATATTAACTAGTAATATTATTAATAAATTTAGGATTCTTTATTTATAAGTTAAAAATAGGCTGTTTATAGTAAGTAAAAGTAATATCTTCTTTAGTCTACATATAGAAATTAGCGTTAAGAAGGTCTACTAATTTAGGTGTAATCCTTCTTTTTACTAGATTAATAAAGACTTTATTATTAATAAGGTAATTACAACATATAAATTAACTAGCAAATACACAGTTACCCTATAGCAAATTATTAGGGAATAGGCAGTAAAAGGGCCCTACTTTTAGGGTAAATCTACTAATTATATAGCTAGGATTTCTTTAGGATTTCCTAACTAAGAAATAGGGGGATTTCCCTACTCCTATAGAATCTTAACTAGATATATATAATATATTACATAATTAATTAATTAACTATTATAATCCCTACTATTTAATAATTAATAGTCTAATACGTACGTCTATAATAACTAACGTGCCTATTTACTAATTAAATACTATTATAATAATTAATAAGAACTATAATAATAAGGTAACTATCTTATAATTATATAGTAATTAGTTTGTATAGCTTAACGCTATCTAAGTAA